AATTTTTCGAATGCATAAATCTAATCGAGCCTAGATTATAAGGGTAGCCGGCTTGTTGAGGACGGGCAGTATCTAGCTGCGATCCCCACTTAGCACATGGGGATTTAGGCTCAATTCATAAACTCATCGATTTCAAATCAGCTGGCTAGTAACTGTGCTATCAATCCTTATCCTTCTTGCCTCATGGGTGGTCTTTGCCTGTCACTCTCCTTTAACTCGTCCGGTGACTTTCTTTTATTTGAAGATAGTTTCTTTGCCCGGCGCTCAGGGCAAACGGGAGCCTGCTCGCGGCTGGCTCCGCAGCAAAACAGGGGCTGCGGAGCCAGCGCCGAGCAGCGCTACCCGTTTTGCCTTTCACCCCAACAACGACAAAACCGGCTCACGAAACGCATGTTGTAGCGTTAATAACGAAACAATTTAAACAACATTGCTTGTCAAAGTACCTATACCAACTGGACAGATTTAATGTTTTTTTAGCAATATTTTTAGTGGCCCGAGCGGGCAAAGTGGAGAGTACGTTATGCTGGCCGGGGTGTCTAAAAGTGCTTCCGAGACAGCGGGCCATTATAAGTCGACGGGCCCTGCTCTCCGTCACTTGTGCATGTGTGTAATGTTTGTGTGCAAGTAAGACGGGGCCTGCGTGTGTGGCCTGGCGTGTGGACGTGTCTATGAGGGGAGAAAGGAAAGCTCATTTGGATCGCGGCGGGAATTGATTTGACAACATAATAACTCCGAGTGTTCACACGATGTGGGTCATTTAACGACATCGCATGGAGTGCAATCCACGATGTATCGTGTAAAACTCGATATATCGCCCAGCCCTAGTTTGCATCACAGAGTGAACCGCTATCTCTCTCGCTCTGACATCTGGAAACGGAAAAGCAGGTTTTATTTGCTTATGGATTATCAGAAATCATTTCAAAGGGACACACAGACACATTAGATTAACTTCAGCAGCGTTTTTATCGTTTTAAATGCCCATTGAAGACCACTTTTTGACCCAGACAACGACCAAGGGTGAGCCATGGTTGGCAGTTTTAGTAGCCTACGCGCCACAATGTTTTTCGATGTCTGTTCTTGTTAATAGCTTTGTGAGTTCTTATCATGGAGTGATGATGTATAGGTACCATCCAATTCTGTCATCTCAGCGATCAGATCAGATGGTGTTGGAGACGTGCAGCTACCATAACGGTACGTCCGCAAAGGAGCTTTAAAAAAATCTTCCAACGCTTCTCTGCCCATTGACTTACTGAATGGGGCATACTTGCAAACCTTAGACCTCAGAAATCGGGAGGCAATTTCAAATGCTAAATGTGAGTGGTTGTGGTTGTGGATCGGCCGGAGGCTGTTAGATTAACATTAACATGGGCTTATTGTAGTTGTAAGTGCAAGGCCTTGGCGGCCTGTAGCACCATCCTTGATGGAGCATAATGTGTGGGCTGGACCTCTGTATTTGTTAAGCAGGAAAGGAGTGAGCAGAGAGTAAGAGTAGTTGTCGATTCTTGTTATGTGTTTTCTGTGAATTATCTGCCTGCAACCTGCTCTCACCCTCTCAAACTTGAAGTTGCCGTGCGCTAATACTAAGAGACCGTGTTAACCATGGAAACCAAACCATGGTGTAAGCTGTATTAAAGTACAGAGGGAAAACAGTCCGTGTGTAAATCTGAATTTTGTCCAGAAATCGGGGAGAAAATATGACCCCGGGAGAAACCGGGAGAGGGCCAATGAAATCGGGAGTCTCCCGCGAAGATCGGAGGGTTGACAAGTATGAATGGGGTGACCGTCACTTTGGCTCGCTTTTCCCGAAATGCATTGTGGGAAGCAAAGAGAAGATTTTCCAGGATTTCAAAAAGTTGAGGAATGTTCAACTTTGAAAGGCTGAGCCTGGAGCGTCAGCAAATCAAATCCCTGTTTATGGCAAATCTGACAGTACAAGCGGCTAGTCCATCAAACCGAATGGCAAGCTGGGAGAGGGCCCAGACCCGCAGTTCATTTCCTCAACATTCCACAAACGAGAAAATTACGGTAGCAAATCAACCGGTTCTTTACGACGCAGAAGCTAGTTTATACCCGGGATACAAACGGAGGAACCAGTGCATGGAAGGGAGGTGGCAGAGACAGTGGGTGAAACTGGTAGGTTTTTCGCCTGTTTGGGGATTTTATATCCAGGTTACCTTCGGTTAAACATTGCTAACAAGGCATAGACAGTATAGTTTATTGAATATTAAGATGCCCTCCAGACGCTGTTTTCCCTGCAGATGACGCGTTTTTCCCCCTGGTATCCGGAGGTGAAAATCACTACAAGTCTGGGCATGTTGAGAACTGTGGCATACAACAAAAGGGGAATTTATTCGGTTCCGTAAGAGCCAGCAAATGCGGGACCTGGGATTTGTAGTCTTTCGAGTTGCGTATTTTCATAGTCTTATATTTCAACAGTTTTACGACAAACTGTGACCTTTTTTTACATGGAAATTATTTTTTAAGATTGACAAACATATGTGTAATTCGTGGCACAATTCAAACGGGATCGAAAGATAATCTTTCTCTCCCCATTGACTTTGGGTCGGAAGTAGATGGGCGGGACTTCACCTCTCTATTACCTCTTTCACACCAACGCAACTCCGGTTCAAGCTCCGTGCTAGAGCTTTTCAGGTTCAGAACCGGTTCTTCGGTTTAGCTCCGGCTCTTTTCACACTGCCCAGAGTCCGACTGGTGCTGCATCATTGCGTCATGACGTAACCATTTGCGTGCCTGCTTCATAAAGCCAAAGCGCGCGGAAACCCCTCACAGCTGACACCGAAAAAAATGGCCGATTGTGCTCCAGCTTCCTCTGTACCTCTTCAGAAGACCAGATTCCCAGTAGGTAGCTGGTCTCTTCAGTGGACCACTGCTGCTTGTTAAGTTTCTCATTCGTTGTGAAGAAACTGGATAAAACGCCGGCTTTTTGTTGTTGTTCAGGAGTTGATCCCGCCCCTGCCTCTGCCTCTTCCCCTGCCCCTGCCCCTGCCTCGACGTAAGCGTAACGTATGTGGTGCTTTTGCTCTGGCCAGTGAAAAAAAACAAATTTAATACAATTGTCCAGCATGATAGGCCCTGTATGCCAGGGACCAATTAGAGGGATTCTTTTCAAACAACTTACCCTTTTACCCCTTGTAGTGTCACAGGTTTTCTCTCTAGAGGATGTTGATGAGCTGGAGGAGCCGGACGATGAAGACCCAGAGTCGGATTCTGAGGAGGAGGAGTCATTAGACGATGATCGTTTTCTTGCATGTTTGTCGTCCTTCTTTGTCTCTCTTCCCCTCCGCTGTGCAGTATCCTCTCTTGGACCCTTGCTTTTGTCCACTTCCTTAGCTGCAGATTCTGTCTCCATCTTTGCTGAATCCACTTTTTCTTTGTCCGCCAATACAAGACTTTTTGCCTCTTCTTTTCTGGGACTCGTGGTGCTAATAGGGGTCTCCTTCTCGGGCGCCTTCGCAGCAACCTCCTGCTTTTTCTGTGGGTCTTCCTGTTCGGTGGAGGACTTGAGTCCTTCCTGCTGTGTAACTTCTGTTAGCGCAGAGACGGTTAAGGCCCGGGGCTGGGGGGTGTCTGAGAAGTTACGGGGCCGCTTGATGACCATGGAAGGCGAGGACGATTGAATTGGGGGCTCCCGTTGGAAGCGGAACTTCTTGAATGTGGACTGAGGCGACAGAGGTGTTGGTGAGATGCTGGATTTAGCATGGGCATCTACCTTCTCGCCTTCCTCTGCCGATGACTTTGCGGCCGGTCCAGTGGAGAGGAGGGTAGGAGTGGGCAGGGAGGTGAAACCAAGCTCGCGGCCGCGTTTGAACGGAGGGAGGTGACTTTCCCTCTCCTTTTCGGCCATTCTAGCCCTCTCTTTCTCCTGTTCCAAGGCTGTCTCCTGCTCCTTCTTTTCTTTCTGCAAGGATTTCTCCTTTTCTAGCTTCTCGTGTTCCTGAGCCCTCTCCTTCCTCTCGAGTTTCTCCTGCTCAAGAGCTTTCTCCCTCTCAAGCCTCTCCTTCTCGAGTCTCTCCTGCTCTAAAGCCTTCTCCCTGTCCAGCCTTTCTTTTTCGGCCCTTTCCTTCTCCTTCCTCTCCCGTTCCAGAGCTTCAAATCTCTCCTTCTCCTTCCTCTCCCGTTCCAGAGCATCAAATATTTCCTTCTCCTTCCTCTCCCGTTCCAGAGCATCAAATATTTCCTTCTCCTTCCTCTCCCGTTCCAGAGCATCAAATATTTCCTTCTCTTTCCTCTCCCGTTCCAGAGCATCAAATCTTTCTTTCTCCTTCCTCTCCCGTTCCAGAGCTTCAAATCTCTCCTTCTCCTCCTGTTCCAATGCCTTTTCCCTCTCTTTCCTTTCTTGCTCCAACACTTTCTCTCTCTCGATTCTCTCCTTTTCCTTCCTCTCGAGCACTAACCTCTGTTGCTCTTGGGCTCTCTCCCGCTCCAATCTTTCCTGCTCTATAGCTCTTTCTCTTCTCTCCTTCTCTATGGCTTTCTCCCTCTCGAGTCTCTCCTGCTCCAGAGCTCTCTCCCTCTCCAGTCGCTTTTGCTCGATGGCTCTCTCCCTCTCCAGTCTCTCTTGCTCTAAGGCTTTCTCCCTCTCAAACCTTTCTCTTTCCAGCCTCTCCTGCTCCAAAGCCATTTCTCTCTCGATCCTCTCAGCCTCCAGAGCTCGTTCCCTCTGTAGCCTCTCTTGCTCCAGAGCCCTTTCTCTCTCTTTCCTTTCTTGCTCCAAAGCCCTGGCTCTTTCCTGCTCTTTGGCCCTCTCCATTTCTTCCCTCTCTCGCTTCTCCCTCTCTTTCCTTTCTCTCTGCAGACGCTCCTGCTCCAGGGACCTCCGTCTCTCCAGCTCTTGTGCCAAGGCTCGCTCTTCCCTCTCTTTAGCCAAAGCGAGTTCCCTCACCTGTCTCTCTCGCTCTAGAGCAAGCTCTCTCTCGCGCTGCAAAGCCTTTTCTCGTTCCTCTCTTTCTAAAGCCAGTGCAAAGGCCCTTTCCCGCTCTTCCTCCATGGCCCGCTCTTTTCTCTGTTTCTCTTGCCTTTCCAGCTCAAGGGCCTTTTCTCTTTCTAACTGAGAGTCCCTCTCTCTGTCCCTCTCTTCTGTTGCGGTGGCCTTGAGCACACTCACGGGTGCTTGAATATGGGCCGGATATGCTCCTGGGATGCCTGGAATCGTGGAAAATGACATGTGCCCTGCCGCATTAGCTGTGTGGGTTATGGCAGAAACCAGACCCTCTAAAGGCCCTCTGCCGTCGCCTTCAACACCGGCGGCGCGGTGCCAACCTGCTCCAGAGAAAGCACCTTCTGACTCCATTTTGCGGGCCAGAAGGGTCAGCGGGCCGGGCTTGCGCTCGGCACTCCTCTGCGGCTCCGGGCTGCTGCTGCGGCTGTCGCTGCTGGAGGAGCCGGAGCTGGAAGTACTGGATGAACGCCCAGCTGCGGCTACATCTGGACTTGGGGGGCTCTGTTTAGGGGTGTCCGGCAAGGGGAATGATAACTCTGGAGGTGGGGAGGGAGGAGGTGTAGGCTGGCGGAGTTGAGGGGATAGAAGGGAAGGCATGTGTTGCTGAGGGGGTTGACAGGGGGCTCCGGACCTCTCTCTGGACGCGGGAGCTCTGGCCGGCTCTCTGTTGCTTCTCCTGCGAGCGCCTCCTTCCCAATCGTCGTTGTCGCCATCCTCGTCTCCGTCATCACTGTCGTCATCGTTGCTGTCGGCTGCGACTTGGTTGGAGGCGGACCCCCTTTCTGGTCGGTGCTCTGCGACAGGAACGCGCATGGCCACAGAGCCAGACGCAGGAGGACCGGACATGTGGGCTTCCTGGTTTCTGTTAGCCTCTGCCTCGTTCGCTGCTCCAAACAATCCCTCAACACCGGAGGGGCCGGGTGGCTTGTGCTGCTCAGCCAATGGTGGCGGGGCTTCCTGGTGAGGAGAGAAAGGGGTTAAATTGATGGTATATGGACTGCATTAATATATAACTTTTCCAGTCTTTCTGAACCCTCAAACCGCTTTACATAAACATCTCAACATTAAGTCATTTATCTGGGCCATTTGGGGGTAAGTATCTTGCCCAAGGACACATCAACATGTGGATTGCAGGGGCTGGGGATTTACCCATCGACCTTCCAATTGGCAGACAACGATTACGACACCTATTTTGGCATTGCAATTCATACCAGCAAGTACCTTTCAAATGTGCTAAATATTTGAAACTTCAAACAAAAAGATGAAGAGAATGTGACCTGAATGCAAAAGGTAAGAAAAGAAAGTGATGACTGACCTGGGCTGGAGGAGGGCATGGTGTACTGTTATTAACTTCTGTGTGGTCCTCTTGATCTGTTTACAAAAGACAAAAACCTATAATTACGCAAAAAACGTATGCACCCTAGATGTAAACAGTTTCAGTACCAAACTGGGTTGCAATGGTGGATTCGTACAACACTTACCATTAGTGTCATATGCTTCACGGGCCTCTCTCTCGAGCCGCTGCCTCAGGAGCTCCTGTTGTTTAGCCAGATACTGCTTGATGAAGCTGTTCTGGCTCATTTCTTCTCCAATCTACAGAGAACATTAAAAATGATGATGGGTAGAAGACTTCAAGGCCACAATCAAGTTAAGACATTTAACAGTATTGTATTGGGGGAATTTGTCATAAACATTTAAGTGAAGATTGTATGTGAACTGGCTTAAGTTGTTGACACAAAGATTAAAGCATCTTTAAAGACACTTACCTGTGAGTTTGGCTGCAGTCCGATGTGATTGGTTGAGGTCCTCTGCAGATTCTCCAGCATGAGGGCCTGTTAATGAGATGCAAGACATTTTATTAGGTGTAAATAGATATCAGTTATTTCCCAGGGTTATTACAGTTGACACTAGTGCCTTTGAACATTAAATATACATAAATTATACAGGTGTGGGATATTTTTGACCACATAGCTATTGTCTACTTTATGAATTACTCGTTTTCCTTATAAATGCCAATATTTCCATTATTTACAAACTTGTATGTGTCATTCTTTTCAGAATGCTATCATTATAGATGGGACCAACTTTTTTTTAAGCCACTCTCTAAATTATTTAAAATGTGGTGAATGCAACTCTTGATACATGGCATAGAGAGAGAAGAGAATAACATTTAAGTGAGTTTCCTGGTCTGAAGCCAACAAGAAACATACGAGACATAAGGTTAAATGAAACAAGGCATTGGAGACTCAGTCTATGAGGGAAAGCAAAAAGCATGCTCTTGTGAAGTGTAATGTTATAATCTCCAACATCTTGAGCAGTGATAAGCAGTAACACATACATCACACCTAATATAAATAATAATAATGTACATAAATTTGAGGTGGATGCTTCTAGTGCTGGTAGGTCTAATGTATACACAATTGCTGCTTCCATGGCGCAATTCAGCGCATATATGGTAATGAGAGATGAGATGACAGAGATGGTACTTTATTGATCCCAATTTGGGAAATTGTTTATATTAATTACCCGGATCCCCCGCTTAAAAGGGAATGAATTCCCCTACTTTAATGGCGCAATGTAAATGTAAACAAACGCGCTCATCCAGGGCCTTTGCAGCTCATGGCTCTGAGATTCATTTGAGAGCAAAACTAATGCACATTTTGGCGGAAAACAGCTACACTTGTCGAATTTAAAACATTGCAAATAACGTTCGAGTTACATTAATAGTTAGCCCATTGTTCACTAATAAAACACTTGTGTAACTTTAACATCCCGGCTAAGCTAATGTACAGCAACATTGCATGGGACCGATTGTGTAAACGGTAATATAGCTAACCAGGCCACCGCTCAATCACAGCGTTAGCCAAAGGAGCCAACGAGCTAACAGGACAACATTAACCCGAAAAACACTTTGAAATTAGCCCCTAAGTTGCTTAAACTCAAGGTCTTGCTACGGTTGGTGTAATTATATGCATCGAAACAACGTATCAGCCACAGCAAAGTGCATATAGAAGCGTTTCTCAGTTTGCTGGTCGTTAACCGCGGTAACTCTCCTGCGCTGCTCGGCAGTAGCGGTACTCAGCAGTCGGCCCTCGAGAGAACATCAGCCCGTCTCATCGTTAACGTTAGCTCGTAGCAGCCGTGCTCTCTTTTTTCACCGCAGAACTTACCCCTTTGAGTCTTTTAATGAGTGCATTCTTCTGCCCGCTTTTAGAGAGTCCCCTCTCCTCAAGAGCAGCTTTTAAATCCGCAACTCGAAGGGACTGGAGCGGTCTACCGTCCAGCGTAACGTCTTCGAGGTCCGCCATTTTCCGTTCCTCTAGTCAGCGAGAGCAACGAGCAACGCCTTCCTCCACCCAGCGTCACCAGCGACAACTTCCCCCTAATCAAATGTCAAATAAATAAATAAAAATATTTAGCACAAAACACGCAAAGTTAATGTCCACTCATGTTGAATGTATTTTATAATCAAACACAAATCTATAGGTTTAATTTATATTTCGTTAACAACAAACTTTGCGCAAAACCTGCGCAAGCTTGATTTCCTGCACACCGATGCTAATGAGCTAACTGCACTCTTCCTGTGTGCATTCGTCAGAAAGATAAGTGCGACTCGTTTATCGTCGCCAAACCTCAAATATGACGACAGTAAGTTGAGTTTGGAAACAGATGGATACTCGCAACCATTTATGTCAAGGGCAATTGCTGGGAAAGGTCTAAATTCAGACTCGAACGGCTTAAAAATATAAGCTAAGCTACATGTTAACGTTGCCAAGACCAGGGTAGTCTCTCAAGGGGTATAGCTGGTCAACTCAAAACAGAGGTTTTTTTTTCTCAGACGGAAATAAACTCTCTTTCCAGAGATGTCGTGGTTCAATCACGTCAGTCAAGGCTCAAATCAGCAACAGCAGCCCACTGACAGACTCTCAGCCACAGACATGTTGTGCAGCACCCTTCACTCAAGGCAGAAAGAGGGGTCACCGACCATGGCAGCACAACACTGGACCGGCTTTTCCACTCCCAGCCCGGAGGACTTTCCATCAGCTCCACGGGGAGTAGTCAGCCCTCTCAGCCTTGAGAACCTGCTCTGCGTCTCTCACAGCGCAGGTAGGATGAAAGAACTGGAGCCCATCTCCTATGTGAGCCTCCAGGAGCAGCGGTGTGTCCTGAGCTGGTTCCAGGGCTGGACCCCTCCTCAGAGGGAGCGCTTCATGCAGGACCTCCTGGGGAAAGCTGTACCCGGGAAAGTGTGCACCCTCCTAGATTCTCTCAGCACTCTTCAGGTCTGCACTGTCACCTCTTAACAGTGTGTGATGTTATGTGAATACTATGTTCTTAAACTGCTCAATTACAGTCCTGAATACTGCTGTGCTGTAAGTAGAAGTACAAGTGTCGTATTAGCAAAATGAACTCCAACTATCACAAGGGAAAGTACTCAGTATGCAGAACTGCTCTTTTTACAGTTTTATAGAATATTATTATTCTGTTTTATCACTAACAAATACATGTCATATAGTTTTAACTCTATCATAAGCATTATGTTCTTTACGAGGTAGCTAGTAGCTTTAGAGTTAAATTTCTTGGAGTGAAATGTAAAAAAAATTGAGTTGAAGTATGTGTAGAATACATTTAAATATTAAAGAAAATTACAAATATGTCAAAATAGTACTTAAATAAAATACCTGAGTACATGTTCTTTGTTATGTTCCACCGCTGTTTCGAACATATCCATCTTGGGAGCCATCTGTCATACTGCTACCTCTTTTAAACTGTTGAGCTATTTTGTTGCATTATTATTTTTTTGTACCCTTGCAATTCTTGTAAGTATTTTTTTATTTTAAAATAGTGTATTATTTGAACATTTTTTCCCAACTGAATTCCTCTAACTTTATGTTTGGTATGCATGATCATAGACCAAAGCAAATTCCTTGTATATGTAATCTTAACCCTGATTCTGATTCACATATAACAGCAGATTATTTTTTCTTTTATTCACCTACAAGGTTATGGACAGACTACCAAACATCTTTGAGTGCCAGCTGCGCCTGTGGTCCCAGTGGTTCGAGTCTTGGGGAGAAGAGGAAAGGAATCATTTCCTGCACATTCTGGAAGAGCGGGACCCAGTTTTTGTTGCCCACTTTTACAGGAGCGTAGCCGGTACAGCAGGAAGAGATTGACCAATGTGATGGGAAAGCTAACAAAATGGGAACGTGTGTTAGGTTAGGATAGTTTTTCTTACAAGAAATGTTTTTGTTACTGTGAACGGATATAACGTTGAAGGCAAACCATTTCATTGAAAACACAGAAGTTTTCTTTTAATTTAAGCTGTTATTATTTAGTTTCCTTCATCAGTTTGGGCTACATCCAACGTTACACCACTTTTTTCTTTTTATAAATAAAGTTCCAAACTTTTTTTGCTTCAACCCTGTATAATGAGTAGAGCTCTGCCATTTAGGGACCCAATAGAGTGGTGCAGTGACGATGTATTTTTATAGGCTGACCCGGAAGTTAGCATTGCAAGGGCTTACTCTAAAATAAGCAATGGGATTTTTCCACTGGATTTTGAATATTGCTAAACAAATGTAATCTTTGGCCAACACGTTTATGATACTTACACGTCTTGTTCAGCAGGATAATCTCCACATATTAACACCACTTTTTTGATTTTTGAAGCGTAAATGCAATCGCCAGAAGCAAAAAGCTATCGTTAGGGCTATAAACAAACCACATCACTGTCAGAGGACTTCACGTAACCATCGCTAAGCTTCGTTGTTCGGCATGATAACGTTTATTGCTAATGAGACTCTTTCCTGCACTACTCTATGGTGTTCACTTGGTTGAAACATAGTTACGCTTACAAGCTTACTATCTTTGTACAGGACCTGCTGATTGAAAGACCTTGAATTTCATGGACAAGGGCACACATACCTTTTGAATATAGAAACAATAAACAAAATGCATTTTATTGTTTGAAACATTCTGCAGCAGTAAGTATGTCTGAAGGTGCAGGGATATTTTTTACAACATACTGAAATACATAGCTGAGATTTGAAACAATGGACAAACAAACCTTGCCCTGTTCTCTATTTGATCCAGTCTACTGATCCAGGAGAGCTTATCACTATAGGTGTCTGACCTTCAACATCCTCAACACAAAAATTGATAAATGGATAGATTTTGTCTGTAAAGCTTTGCTGCACAAAGGAGTACAAGTGAGATCTGGCACCAGCGTCGTAAAACGAAATCTGGCCCTTTTTATAGTCCAGCAGAATCCCCAATCTAAGAGGTTGCGTCTCAAGTGGAATAATAGCATGTCTACTTTCAACAGCTTTAAACTGACCCTGTTTGTCGAGGACTACAGTCCAGAAACCTTTTGTCGGACTGAAGATGATCATTCCTCTTCTTTGGGCAGATTCACTGGCCATACCGAGGTGGTAACAAAGCTTTCCGGCTACAGACACCTCCCAGTAATGTCTGCCAGAAGAGAAGCCGACCATGCCCAGGACAGCGAGAGCGATATTAAATCTGCTCGGGTGGTCAGGGACATTTTGTATATGCTCAGTAGTGGACATCTCTGCGTTATCTGCCGACATCAATATTCGCGGGTTGGCTGTGTTTGGATCCAAGGTCGGCTTCGCTGTAAAACGGAAGAAAAAAATGTAGTTTATCATATGTAACTTAACATGAATTGAAAGTGATTAGAAGTACACCAGTGATATTGTTTTAGATAAAAATGTCCAAATAATCCTCAGGCTGACAGCTTCAAAGAAATGAAATAAAGTCTTGTGTGTGACTCACTGGCATAGATCGTCTTATCATCCACATCACTCAATTTGTTTTGAAGATCTGAGGAGAAGAACAGCACGTTTTTTCCTCCAAGAAGGGGTATTGATTGACAGTGTATTCTCTGCACTGTGGAAAATAACTAATAGTTACCTTGTACAATATCTTCAAGATTGTTCTTCTCATTTTGCAGATCTAGCATTGAGACAAAAAAAGACAGCAACATGATATCAATAATCAAAAGAGCAATATGTAATTATCTCTATTTCACTGAATGAATCCACTTAATTCCAGACGGTTGAACACACCGTGGTAGGCGCCCTGCAGCTTGTTTTTCTCCCTCCTCATTTCTTCTAACTCCTGCTGCAGCGTTTTATGGTTGGCGTCCTTTTCATGCAACTGCCGCTGCAGACGATCTGCGTCCTCCTGGCTCTGTTGCAGTTGCCTTTGTAAATCTGTTTGATTAAATATTCGGTCAAAAAAAGCTACTTCAAAACACTCGAACACTAGCATAATAGTGAAAATTAAGTCATACTGAGGATCTCACCGTCACACTGGAGGTTGACATCATTACTGCAGTTCATTTTCATCAGTTCTTGGACCTCTTGCTCTAAGTCTGATAGAGGAAGGAGTTTGAAACACTCAATCTTTTAAACACCAAGTGTCAAGGTTACATTTTAAAGGTCCCCTATTACACTGTTTTTCATCAATATATTATAGACCTCAGCAGGGGCGGATCTAGACAAAATATTCATGGGATGGCAAGAGGGTGGCAGGAGATTTTGAGGGGTGGCATCCCCTGGCAGAAGTATATGCTGATTTAATCGCAGTCATATCAATCAATGTTAACTTGGAAAGCCACAATATTAATATTTTAACTCAATAACATTAGGTGAAATTATTGTGGCACATCAGTAAAGCCTTAAATAGAAATATATAAGGTGGCAGACATAATTTAATGAATTGGATGATAATGAATGAACTGAATGAGTTTGTTTCACTCTTAGACCAGCAGGGGTACCATCTATGTAGACTGCTGCAATAAGTAAATGAATTAACTGTCTGATCGATGTTTGTCTGTATGCATATGATAATATTAACAATCATATTATTCCTATCAGCTGTTAATCACTGTTATGATTCACACATTCATTTATTATTGAATAAACTATATTTTTTGGAGCAGTTAATGATGAATGTTCCTCAAGATGCTTGCTCACCCTCCTTCAAATTTGAAGTAATTACTATCATATATCAAAATTCAAAAGATTCAAAAGATTCAAAGAAACAGTTCAGCGCCCCACGACTTTATTGCAAACAGTTACAACCTTGACTTTACATCAGAAAGAACAAACATTAAAGAAGTGACTAATTGCATCAATTAGGGCTAAAAAACGTGAATTCAGCTCAAACATATACATCGCTGCAGTTATTATCCAGTGGAAAGTCCTTAACCTACTGGCCTAAATAAAAGTGGTTACTTTTTTTTGGCTGGGCGGTGTAGTTTTACACACCTTCTTATTTGACTTTCTCAGGACTTAAAACTGTTTCTTGGGGGCAGACCCCCACAAAGAAACATACAAGGTCATCATCTTAACAGTTGTTTATGCTCATCCGTGAGCAGAGCATCAAGTTGGCATGCCTATATAACAGCTGAATGCGCGATTACCATTCTGTTCAGCAAAACGACTCACAAACTTATTAAGATCTAAAGCTTTAGTACGTTTTGATTCAATGCTGAGTACAGCCAAACTTGACAGTCTCTTCTCTGTCATTGTAGACCACAAATACCTCATTCCTTCCATCTACTTGGGTCCGAATGCTTCTCGGTTTGCGCCGTCCCGTTCAAATGAAATCGCCGCAAATCATGCACGCTCGCACCATGAGGGTAAAATACCTCATTCACACCAACGCAACTCCGGTTCAAGCTCCGTGCTAGCTTTTCAGGTTCAGAACCGGTTCTTCGGTTTAGCTCCGGCTCTTTTCACACCGCCCAGAGTCCGACTGGTTCTGCGTCATTGCGTCATCGTTTGCGTCATGACGTAACCGTTTGCGTGCCTGCTTCATAAAGCCAAACCACACGGAAACCCCTCACAGCTGACACCGACAACAACAACAATGGCCGATTGTGCTCCAGCTTCCTCTGTACCTCTTCGGAAGACCAGATTCCCAGTAGGTAGTTGGTCTCTTCAGTGGACCACTCCATCGTTGTGTACAAACTGGATAAAACGTGGGCTATTTGTTGTTGTTCAGGAGTTTATCTGCCCCTGCCTCGACGTAAGCGTGACGTATGCGGTCAGGGGCGGCGGGTACTGTAGGCTAGGGAAGGCTAAGCCTTCCCAAATATTTGTGTCACTGCATCCTGGTAAAATAAAAATATAATGTATAATGTTTGTGTCTTTGACATTAGCGCTGCTATGCAGCCACCTGTGCCCTGTGCAGCTTACGAAGCCAGTCAACAGACCTGGATATGTTTGAGTTATCACTTAATTAACCCTAACAATGACGATAATCTCGCTAAGCGCTCTACGACGCTGGTTATCAATCAGTAATCAGCAGGGTTCTCTCTCTCGCATCCGAGAGGCGGCGTTTTCAGTGAAAGGGGCGGGGTTCAGCTACATTCTGACCAATCACAAACCGACAAAGTATACTGACAGCTGCAGCGTCATACTTCATTAATGAAAGTAAACTATATTAGACAATAATGGAAGCTTTAACATCCACATGACTTCTAAACATATAATCCCAGGAATACAGCCACATAGTCTGCACCTGCAAGTGAATATAGAACAACTGGTTAAAAATTACTACAGAGTGGTTCGCGCGCTACAACAGTTTTATGATATCACTGCCCGTCTAAGAACCACGAGTGTGATCTGACTTTAATTACATTTGGGTTGAGTGTTTCGTCACTTTAATGTGCTTTGCTTAAAATAATACTTCTGCATACAGTAACAATGTGAGTAATGGTAGCGTGATGAACGGCCAGATACGGCTCGAGAAGCTGACTCAGTATAAGGAATATGATATAGTTATGATACGTATATCGATGTAGCCTACTGATTGATGATGTGTAAAGAATGATAAGTGCGACACGTCGGCTTCTCTCTGCTACGCAGTTTAACCTGTATTTCCCTTTATCTGTAATATGACTTGATAGATTCTAACCACTACGCTCACTGAGCCTGATTGGTCAGCCAGGCGGTGCTTGTCATGAAGTTGATCATCTTTTCTTAGGAAGCCGGTAGTGCTGGTGCAGCGTCAGGTAAAAAAGTTATTTCTAGCCTTCCAAACTGAGCTCACGCGCCGCCGATACTGTACTGCGGTGGCTTTTGCTGCTAGCGGCCAATTTTTTGGTGGCTTGAAACTACAACGGATTCCAGAGCTGTAAGAGGCGCTCCGCTGCGGTGGTGAACAGGAAACCCTGTGCTTTTCAAAGCTCAGCCTCCGAACCGCCCTGAAACACCTTGGTTGTGGATGAGGAAAAGACTCACCGTCTTGTGCTGCGCATTCCTTGCACTCGGACATTAGGAGATTCTCTCTCATAAATGTCCAACTAGCCACAATCTTTCTTTCAAAACAAAGGGGGGGGAGTTCATTCGTCAACTCGTGTGAGTTACAACTTTTACACAAACTATGGAGAAAATGTCACCACATTTATAATCACATTTAAAAAAATATTTTATAAATGAATTGTACATTTAGGGTGGCAACTAGGGTGGCAAAGGCATTGCAACCCCGTGCCACCTGTACGATACTGCCCTGGGTCTCTCAGATACTATACCAAAACCATGTCTCTCGAAGTGTTTGCCTCGAAACACCAAACAGGATCATTGCAGCATCCATAATCCCTCTGTTTCAGCCCTGTTATCAAAAGTCGCTGATCTCTCTCTTCTCTGTCTTTCTACCTTAATGAAAAATAAGGAGTCAGCTCCCACGCCCCTCTGAGAGATATTTTGGTATACAGAACGCAATGGTCGCCTCGTTAGGAGGAGATTCAGGTGATACGTGGGGGGGGTGTTACCCTGGTTGGTTATTGGCTAATGGTTACACAGCAAACATCGTTAATGAACATAATAAAGTGGGCCAAAATCTGATCAGGCTCATTTCCAGAAGGTTTTATATAAACTGGACTCAGGACAGGAAAAAGTGAGCAAATCTCTTCTCTTGGAAACTTTCAGAACTCTTTTACAACATAGGGGACACGATCGTTGTCTATAAAAGACATGAAAGTGATTTTGCATAATAGGTGACCTTTAAAGCACTGCAGTGCTTGCTAATTGATTTTGGGAGGATCAATTGCAGTTCCAGTCAGACGAAAAAGAGAAAGGTGGGTAGGGTAAATTTTTGGAGCAACAGCTCCGTGCGCCTAAGAATTTGGAAAATACACAGCCCGGCAAAAAATCTGCCTTACAGACGCCGCTCCTCCACAGCACGAACGCGCACGATGACCAATGGAGGGCTGAGATAACAGTTGTGTGGGCAGCCAGATGGAAGCTGACAGGCAGGTAAGCGCCATCCAGGTTTACTTTTAAGGGCCGGGCCGGCTAAAAAGTGAAGTTGGTCATGAATTTTTGACAGGCGGCTAGGCGGCTTCCACAGATGAATTTTTAAATGTACTTTATTGTGCAAAGCATTTAATATATATTATTGCTATCGGATGCTTATCAGAGCTTCCATGGAATATAACAAAAGCGCTCGTGAAGTACAACATTACTATACCCAGATCTTTTAATATGTTTATTAGAAGCAGCATAATATTTGAGTTTAGGCATCGCTAGGCTGGGGCCTCATCCACTCCACAGATTTACAAATGAACATTGAGTGATGCAGATAAATATCGCCTCCCGAGCATACAGGCACGGGTAGAAGCTGGGGTGGGTGGTGCAGGCCAACAACAGGCGGGCGCACTCGACACCACACGCAGCACGCGCGCACCTCGCACTCGCCGCACAAATAGGCAAGTGAAGCACACGCAGCTCGCGCGCGCGCTCCAGGCGACGCGCAGAGGCAGGAAACCTGGCGCTCTACACTCACGCGCGCGGCACTGTCTCTCACGCGCGCTGTCCTCTCGCTTCTGCGCTCTCTGCGCTCTCGTCAACGCCCGCACAGAGTGGCGTCACGTGTTAGATGCCTATCATCTCGGTGCTTGAGTTTGACTACCTCGAACTTCACCTGCGCCGCTTCACCCTTAAAGGGGTAACATACCACCCTATGTTTTCTTAGCTTTAAAATCCTGACACGCGCTCGCACTCTTCTCTGCTGTCTCTCGCTTCTGCTCAGAACTCGCGCTCTCATATCTCTCAGCGCTTGTGGGCAATTTTGCACGCAATGTTCTTCTCACGCTACCTCGCACTCGCGCTTCGCTCCGCGCGCGCGCGCGGTTGAGGGAAGGGTGTTTACTTGGTTCCAATCTGCTAACCCTCACTATAGATGCCACTAGACTCGCTAGATTTAAAGGAATGTTTCCTCACTTTTCAAGACGCTCAATAAGTCCAGGAGGCCAAGGCTGTTTTTGGATGAAGCCTTGTTTCGTACTGATACAAGTGGGGTTTTCAGCTGTTTTCTCTGTAGCCTTGGGGGTACCTCTTTCAAAATCCAAGAGGGTGCCGCCGGTGACTATCCCAGCTTGAGCATTCTTTGATTAGTTACACCCTTCATCGGCCAAACAACGCCAAAATCTCAAAGAAAATAAGGATTATGACGATTTGCATCGGCAAAA